TTTTTAATGTACCCCGCAAACAAAATAGCTCTGGGTTCTCCACATGGGTCAGAGTCAGAAATATTACCATATGGCGCTCGCCGTTCCCCCACCCCGCCCCCACTCTCCCCCGCCTGGTGTGCGTCCCCGAGCCCTGCCCGGTCTGATGGGCGTCCTGCCGCCAGGCGATGCTCGAGAGTCACCTGGGCAACGAGTACGGTACGGGCGTGTTCCACTACCAGCACAGCGTGGCGGCCACCATCCCGGACGCGCTGTACATGGTGGACGGCGAGGCGCACGCAAGCGCCGCCGACGCCGACTCCTCTGCCGGCGAGGACGATATTCCCGGTGAGGCCCCGTCCGAGCCAGCACCGGTGGGCGGACGGCAGCGCTGGCCGAATGAAGCGTCGGTCTTGTCTGCGTTGTCGGAGGGCTGGCTCAAGTCGCCTGCCGCGGACTGTTGTGCTGCCGAAATGACGTAGTGTGGCCTGATGGTGGACGCCGCTAGGCAGTCGGGTTAGAAGTGATTGTCTACGTTTATGTGCTAGTACCTTGCGCCATGCCGGCACCACAGGAGCTCGCGGTAGTTGATGTGAAGGAAGACGGCCCATGTCATCATCATCCTTTTAGAAATTGTTTGTGTAAGAAACCCAGCGATACGCCCTATTTTGGAGCAAACACTCACACATAACATCAGCGGTTCAGACTTGGTGGAGTGTTGACACTGCTTTCCGAGTTGGTGAAGTGTTGAGGCTGTTCGTGTCGTCGTAGGTGGTGCAGTATCCCTCTTACGTACCCTCCCTGTGACGTGAGCTCTTTCGACCTCACTGTGACATACCTTCGACCTCGACCTGTTTGTGATATGTGATTTTGCGTGCCTCATTCCTGTTCACTTTGTCCATCCTGGAGTTTGACCCCCTCCTCCTTCTGTATGGTAAGCCTGCATCCTTTCCGTGACTAGCGTCTGGTTGATCTCTACTCCCGTCTGCCCTGTCGCCAGCACGCATCTGTTCCCGTTTCCCGTGTGCCTCATGATGCCTGGTCACAGCGTCGTTCCGTTACAGTGGCGCCGCGGGCCGACATCCTGTCGGCGATGCTGCAGCGACAGCGCGAGCTGCAGGCGTCCGGCCTCTACCAGCGCGCCAGCACGTGCCTGCTGCTGACGCCGGCGCGCGTGCGCCGCCAGGTCGGCCTGCAGGTGGTGCGCGAGTACGGCCTGCCCGACTGTATGGTGCGGGTGCTGCAGGTCAGTCGCTGCCCCGCCCGCGCCGAGGCCACCAGGGCGCGCCTGATGCTGCCGGACGGCTGATGCTGCGCCGCAACACGGGATCATTACACGTGTTTTCCATTGCTGTTCGGCTGTGTTCCATTGCTGTTCGGTGTGATGTACTGAGCCGGTGCCGCTGCACAGCTGTGCTTTGTTTTTGGGACTGGGTTGTAGTGGGGTGGTTTGTATTGCTGGGCTGATTTGGTCGCTCCATTCGTGGTTCCCTAGTGTCCCATACCCTGGGCGTTAGTCGTCTCTTGATCGCTGACATGCCTCCACAGTGTCTGATCCCTGACATGCTTCTACAGTGTCTGATCCCTGACACGCCTCTGCGGTGACACCGATCTGTGACATGCCTCTACAGTGTCAGATCCCTGACACACCTGTGCAGTGCCCCTGATCTCTGACATGCCTCTACAGTGTCTGATCCCTGACACGCCTCTACAGTGTCCCTGATCCCTGACATGCCTCTGCAGTGTCCCTGATCCCTGACACGCCTCTGCAGTGTCCCTGATCTCTGACATGCCTCTACGGTGTCTGATCCCTGACACGCCTCTACAGTGTCCCTGATCCCTGACACGCCTCTGCAGTGTCCCTGATCCCTGACACGCCTCTGCAGTGTCCCTGATCCCTGGCACGCCTCTGCAGTGTCCCTTTATCCCTGACACGCCTTTGCGATGCCGCGCAGGAGGCGAGCCGGCGCAGCGAGGGTCAGCTGACTGTGACGCAGGCCGGCAGCCGGTGGCGCTCCACCAACGACCTGCCGCGACACTGCCTGCTCACCTTCCCGGAGCCGGAGCCGGCCCAGTTCCGCACCCTGGACGTGAGTCAGCCGGCCGCCGGCTGCACCGCCGCGCGCGGCGTCGGCACGGCCGTCTCCCCCAGCGGCGGGGCGGCACTTTCAGTACATGTTTCGTTGCGTTGTGTGTTTTGCTGTCCGCTGGCGATGCATTCTTTGCTTCACCGCGGTGGTATGGGTTTATCGATGTGGGTCCAGTTTTTGCCGTGGGGCTGCGGCGTGTGACGTTAGCAGTTAATAGGGATGATATTTTGTAACATTTACTTAATCGACGATCATTTGATATGAATTAGTTACTAGCCATGTTCATGGCAAATTGATTAGCTGACATGCTGTATGGTTCTCCTGATTGTATCCCGGAACTTTGGGATTATGATTCGGACGTGGTATGAACATTCTGTCACTGCGAATTGTTGAAGCATGATGGCACACAACACAGCAAGTAGTTTATCACCTCCTGTAGTAAACACAACTCAATGTTCATCAACACTTCGTATGCACGTATGTACGTATGCACAGCACACGTTCTGGTATGTTGCTAATAAATCATGTGATGGGAGCAACGGCCATTATAGATCCGTCGCTGCTATCGTTCACGTCGCGTCATGGGTGACCATGTTGGATGTCAGTCCACCTTTCGCACCGCATGGTCTTTCTGTTGCGTGTCCAACCACGCAGTGATACGAGTATCCCCCTCGCACGCTCCGCCTGCGCTGTCTCACACCGTTTTTGCCCCCCCCCCCCCCCCCTCCCCTGCCCGTCTCGCTGTCCCGCCTGTTGACGGCGGATGACGCCGCCGTGGCGCCGGCAGCTGGAGGCGCTGAACCTGCGCGAGCCGGGCCACCTGTCGACCATGCCGGACGTGGCGCTGGCCACGGGCACGCTGCCGCGCCAGCGCTCGCTGCGCCAGATGCGCGAGCGCGAGCTGGAGCTGGACCTGGGCGACGGCACGCGCCACTACCAGAGCCACTGACGGCCGGCGCCGGACGTGTGCGTCTGCACCTGCACCCTGCAGTGACGCGACTCCACGTCCGGCCGACCGCGCCGCCGCCGCCGCCGCCGCGACCGACGCCGCCGCCGACGACATCACCACATTGTAGATCTCATCCATTGTGCGCCTTACCTGCTGCCATATTCGCTGCCGCCGCCGGCGCCGGGCGGCGTGCGCGGCGCCGCGGGAGGAGTACAAAGCCGTCGCCCGGGCCGGCTGCGGGCCCGCGCGCCGCCTCTCCCCTCGTCTGCGCGCGCCTGGTCCGCCCGGCGGCCGGCAGGCGTGGGCCGCGCGCGCGCGCTCGTGCCGATCGCTCTCTCCTGTCGCGACAGACAGCTGCTCTACCTCTCACGGTGACGGGCTGCTGCGCGCACGTGCTCGTGCGCCCGCTCTGCGCGCGGACCACTGGTGCGTCAGTGGCGAGCGCCGGTGGAGACCCGGAGCGCCGGGCGACGCCGCCGCCGGCGCCGGCCCGCGAGCGGCCGTGTGATTCACGTTTTGCCAGCTGCAATACGCCGGCGCGCTCCTGTCGCGCCCGGCTCTGTTGACCGCTCGGCGTTCACTGGTGATTTCGTTGTGCCCCAGATGTGATAGTGTGCAGTTTTCATACCTATACATATATATCTGTGTGTTTTGTGCGTACGCGTGCGTGTCATGTGTTTGTGCTCCACGGTCTGTCGTGGTTTTGCCCGGGTATTGGCCTTGCTCGCCGCAGGGGTCTGCAGCGTGGACCCCTCGCGAGCATTCCTCACGAACACCGAACAAATGTTATCCACTCAAATGACGATCGACCAAATAGCCTCCCTCCGCACCTGATTTCACGGTTGTGTTCTGGCGGGATGTGTGCGGCGTCCGCGCGCCGGCGGCAGCGGACCGCCCCCGTCGCGTCGCGATCGCCGCGCGGCGCGGCGGGCCATTGCGCTCCGGCGGCACCGGTGTTCACCGGCGCGCGGCTCGGCCAGAGCGAGCAGCGACCACTAACCCGTTCCGTGCGCACGGGCAGGCCCGAGTGTGTGCGACAGTGACGCGGCTTACGCTGAGGGCGTGTGTGAGCCGGGCCCCCGTGCCGCGATCGCTGATTGGTCGGAGAGGGCCGGCCGACTGCCGCCTCGCTGAGGGCCACTGCGACACGTAACACTGGTTTGTATTACACCGTATTCACTTATCGCTTGCTGTTGGTATATACGTTGTAGTCCTTGTACAATTGCTGCGACTTTAGGATCAATACAATACTTATATTCACGTATGCACAATGCTTTTGGCGTGGGTGCTGGTGTGTTGGTCAGAAATCTGCGACGGAGGTCCCCAAGCAGCTTGGGGTCTCGGTTGGGGAGCGACCCTCCCCAAATCATGAGCCTTGGCATTCCGTCCACATTCGGCGCCGGTTTGGGCTCGGGGATGGCTGTCAGCGGTTCCGGCCTTGCACTGGCGAATTCAGTGGGAATGTCGATATGAAATGGTCCCGATCGCACCAGCGGACTGTTGGTGATGGAGAGCCTTCCCTTGTCAATGCCAATCAAACCGCTGGAGGGTATTTCATGTCATGCATCAGCTAGCTTTTGACCAGGACACCGCCTAGCTGTAGCTTTTGTAAAGAAAGTTCGACAAGCTACACAGCTGATTACTATAGACAACGCGCAAAGCCCCTCAGATCTGCGTTATTCCTTGGATAAAGACTGAAGAACACAACGGACATTTGTGACGAGAACCTTGTGTCTGCTCGGTTGCGGTTCCGTAATATTGCGGGCGCTAGCCTCGGCCGCTGGAGCTCAAACCTCTGCTCCCAAAAGAAGGATCACTTTTAAAGGAGGACGCCCAGCCTCGCCGGAACCTACTGAAGACCGTGGTCCCTTTTCAACGGGGTCATTCTACCGGGTTGGAAATACACGCGACTGCGGAGCCATTTAGCCACACGCAGGAGTGTCCCGCCTGACTTCCGCATGCGTCAAGTGACACAACTCACATCAGTGAAGACACATTTTATATTCATGACAGCACATCTGGCGAGACATTCACTGATGACAGTACAACCACCCAGGAGCAACAGTCCCCCATCGGTAACGTCAGCATCGCTGCCGTGACCAAGCCCGACACTCACAAACACCGGCGAGGGCATCACCATCATCGAAACCAACTACAATTCAAAATCGTCCCGCAGTTCGTTGTACTCCTGTACGTGTTTTCGGATGGCAGACGCGTCCACCCAGGTCAGGAAGTCCTCCATGTTCCTCGTGACGAAGAACGCCGGGTCCTTGACCACCTCAGGACCAATGCGCACGTGTCCCTGCTCCACGAACTGCGTGGCCATTTTGACCGTGGGCGCCATCTTAAGGCGCACCATGAGCACAGGCAGGCGTCGTCGGCAGAAAGACGACGCCGTCACCTTGTCCACCAGCTCCAGGTTCCACTTGGTTGGGATCAGGCCCATCTGGTAGGCCTTTTCGATCAGCTGTGCGGAGGCCTCCACCCGGAACTTATCCTTTGGGTCGAGGTTCCGTATTTTGCGGGCGATCTCTCGGATTTGGCGAGCCAGCTTGTTGTACTTTGTGTAGTCATCCCGTTTCTTTATCTGGAACTTACGTAAGATCTTGGCTTCGTGCAGTGTGTTGTCTGCTTCCCATGATATGAAATCTACCTTCTTGAGCAATCTCTGCTCATGATACTTTAGCTTTCTAACCATGATTTTCTATGTTGCAATAATATCTGCAGAATAAATAAAACATAGTCATTGGAAGTCTTCATGCTGATATGGAACTGAGCAACAGGATGTTACAGACAGTGGAATCATTGGATATTTAAGGGGGTAGACAATGTTGTAAGTAGAACAGACATAAGGACACAACAATCAAGACACTTCATAAGCAAATATGTATTATTTTAATTCCTCTACATTTTTTTTGTCACTAATAAGTGCTAGCAACCCTCTAAATGATTGCTGCACCAGATGGTATACTATCAGGTTCATGGCAAATATCATATCCATATGATTTGGTTGTCACCTCAAGTAGGAGTACAATGGGTGTGAGTGTAACAAACAAACATTTTTAGGAATTAGGAAACCCAGCAAGGGGCCATCAAACCAGCAATAAGTATCACACATTGGCACAGGTCCACTATCCCACCAAGCTACCAAATGTCAAAATGTGGCATGTCAAGAGGCTTTCATGATATTGCTTCCCCTCCAATGCTCATGAGGATAGTGCTTATTTTTTAAAACTGGAAGGAAAACACACCCTCCAATTTCATGTCATGGAGGGCACATATGCCAACACAGGCATGTTCTTATACACACCCAGTCTGTGGACTATGGCAAGCATGCCAACAAGATGTTTAAGACACACATCACCCTGCCACAAATAGAATGACAAACTGCCCAATTTGGAGCAAACATTGCTAACCTTACCTTCCCCCAAAAATACAAATGCCAATCAGATTTGGTTATTTTCTATGATCTTAGCAGTCACTTTATATCACATAACACGTGCTAATTGCCATAACATTCCAATTTAATATTTCCACCCCAAATCTTTGATTATCCACATTTGATGCTTTTGACAGTTGCCCTAGATTTCAGGTTATGTCCCACCTCTGTAACAACGAGATCTCTGAAATGAGAAATCTGTAATGCTTTGCAAACCGGACTACCATGTCTTCCAAAGCTTAGGATTGGTTCCCTGGCACTAGAAATTACGTACCTGCTTGGAAGCTACACTTTTCTACAAGAAAAGACCGCTTCCACCTACTGCACCTCTCTTCCTCACGAACGAGCAAAACTATACTTAACTTACGGGGCTAATAGATTCCTACTCCCCGAGAGCGGCGGCACGAACCTGGACACCACGATCCAACACGGAACCCCCATGCTCGCTATTGATGCAATCTGTGACGCACATGTGCGCCATGATTCCCAGCCGATATAAACTCGTCAGCTTTTAAAATTAAATGACATCATAAAAACGTAAGTTGTTACAAGGCACTTACTTGACGAGTGGGTGCCACGATATTCTTTTCGATAAATGCATGTATTCAAAATATAAATACGTCTATCTATTCATTCTCCTAGTTATTTTACCAGGATTGGAGTTATTGCTAAGACCTTACATGTACGTCATGATAACCTCAATTAAAACTGCATACTTCGAGAGCTCCCATCTCTGTCTTGTTGATATGCATCAGGTGCAGAGGAAATGTGTATAAAATGCTCTAAACCATAAATAACCGTGTTGGCAGGGGCGGATCCAGAGGGGGGCACGGACTTTGACCCCCATTGGGCCCCGAAGGAGCCCACTGGCTCGGAAGGGGTCCATAGCCGGCCGAAGAGGTGAGTTTTTTTAACACAAAACGCAACAAAACTGGAGATCTCTGGACTTCCAGGCGACCAAAAACAGCTGTAAGCAAAAGTGAAGGGCCTGCGAAAAGTCCAAAATATTATCCAATGATTGGAAAAGCTCTGAACTGTACACTTGAAGCCCCATTGCACTGTCTAGGGGCCCATACTGTTTCCGGGAGACCCATATGCCCACATGCAGAATCATATCGATCGTTAATGAGCATTCCGCGTTTCCTTTCATCTCTTTGCAGTTGCTCGGAGGGCCCCGCGCTGTTGTTAGGGCCCTTCCTGTTAGTGTGCCGTTGCACTCCCGTCAATCACGGGCCCTTCCACGGATTTTTTCCATTCGCCAGAGAGGCCCTGTGAGCTATAGCTGGGGTTCCACATCTTAACCTGCCGGGGTATTATCGGGTGCCCAGGGGCCCTTAACGTGGGTCTCGGTAAACCTACCGACACACAGCTCATGGGCTCTCTACATTAGTCTAAGACGTTTACAATTCTCTGTCACTTGCTTAGTTCCCTACACTCTTGTCAGGAGCCATCTGATGACCTGGTTGGGCACACTCAGTCGTTCGGGAACACCGCATACTAGGTCTTGTGTATTTATTTTCCGAATGGGGGCCCTACGCTCTTGTGGGGAGACATCTGATAACCTGCTCGGGCACATTCGATCGTTCGGGGGCCCTCTACATTGGGCCTTGGGCACGGGCTATTTGAATGGGGCCCTACGCACTTGTCGGGGGGGCCCTCTGTTCGCCTCCTCGACCACACTGATCGGGGGCCCTGCACATTGGTTCTTAATGTTTGAATTAAGCACCCTCTGCTCCTATCGAGGTCATCTGATAACCTGCTCGGATACACTTCATCTTTCGGGGACCCTCCGCACCGGGTTTTGGCTGTCTCGTACTTGAATTGAGGGCCTTACGCTCCTGTGTGGTCTATTCTGATAAGATGCTCGGACCCTTTCGATCGTGGAGACCTCTACATCTTGTTTTGGACATTTCCTTTTTGAATGGAGGGCCCTTCGCTCTTTTCGGGGGCCCTATCTGCCCTAACCTGCTCTGGCACACCCGATCATTCCGGGACTCTCTGCATTGAATCTTGGGTACTTCCTATTTAAATGGAGGCTCCTACGCTCTTGATGGGGACCCTATATTTTAACCTGCTCGGGCACATTTGATCGTTGGGAGCCCTACATATTTTGTCGTAAGTATTTCTTACTTAAATGGATGGTCCTATGTCTTGGCGGGTCCCATCTATAAAGCTGCTCGGGCCAGTGGCGGATAGACAGAGGGGCGAGGCACGAGATCATCTCCCCATGGACCATACCGAGAGGACCTAAAGGCTCCGAAAGGACCCATAACCGGCCGAACAGACGCAGTTTTCTTACAATAAAATTAGACGCCTTTGGACCTACAGACGACCAAAAACAATTGCTAGCAAAAGTAACGAGCTCATGATCAGACGAAGTTTATTCTTTCCTGATTGAGCAGGTGTTGCTGGGGGGGGGGGGGGGAGTTTTGGGGCTCATTACGCTGCCCAGAGACGTTATGCTGCTGCCCGGACCCCATATGTCCACTTAACGGGTCAATCTGATCGCTAAGGAGCTTTCCATGTTGCCTTTGATCTCTGAATTTTTTCGTAGGGCCAAACTCTGCTGTTGGAATGTTATCTGCTCCATGCCTGGGCACTCTTGATCGAGCAGGTTTTCCTCGACGTATTTTTTTTCTCGTTTGCCCGAAAGGCTCTAAACGCTTTTACGGGGCCCCATATGCCAGAGTGCACTCAGTTGCTCAGGGGCCCTTCATATTAGTCCCTGGTTCTTTCCACTTGCTTGGAGGGCCTTGTGCTGTTGCTGGGGCCCTTATAGGGTGAGGCACCGAGACACCCGATGTTCAGGGGCCCTCTACCTTGATCGAGGGATCTTTCCCTTTGATCTCAAATGCAGAGGACTCTTCACTCCTATCGAGGCTCTTTCTTTAACGTGCTCGTACACTTTTGATAGCACAGGGGTATTAATTCATGGTCTTGGGTAACTCCCCTTTGCTCAGAGGGTCTTGTGCTCTGGGTGGGGCAACATATGTCAGCCTGCGGGGGGACAACCGATCGTTTAGGGGCCCACCACATTGGTCTTGGGTTCTTTTTTATTGCTCTGAGGATCCTGCACTTGTTGATGGGAGCCACATTGTTTGCCTCCCGCGGCACCCACGATCGCTCGGATTTCGTCCCAATTGCCCTTGGCGCCTTCGCCTTAGAGCAGTGGTTGGGTATGTGCCGATAAATTTTTACGCGCAATTGCCGAACGTAATTTTGCATGCCGCCGGCGTCGTATGTGTCATTTTCATTGACTATTCAGTGTGTAACACTTGTACTAGTGCATCGCGTTCTTAACATATTTCGAAAGTTATGATACGTTGCACTCCTTTATGACAAATGAAAAATTATGCAGTCATCAGCCATCAGCTGATTACATTGCCCTCCCGGCTAGCCGCAAGTTGGTTTTGATGGTTGCAAGCAGCCAGCTCAAGTTTATTTTGCCTGTTGTTCCGAAACACTTAGCACCAAAATCACAGCATTTAAGCTGACCTGTAGAAAATGAGTGAGCTCTATGCGTATGCATGGGTAGCACGCCTAGCTTTATAGGACTGCGCACGTTAAGATGGGTTTCCGTATTTATTGAATAAATGAATAGGTGTATATATATGTATATATATATATATATATACACTATATATATATATATGTACTATATATATATATATATATATATATGTATATTACATCCGACTTGTCTTAAAACGTGATGACCGAAAAGCAAGAATATTTTTGGAGGGGCCCCAAACTCCAGGGGGCCCACTGTGTTGCGTGCCCCCCTTGACGAAATCTTGGATCCGCCCCCGCGTGTTGTACACCACCACAACTATCGTACTGCAAGGCTTAACACATAAACATCTGACACACATTTTGCCGCCTCTTAGGATGCGTGGAAAATGGTCTTCAGCTGATCAAGTTCAATGACTTTGCTTAAGGACTTAGAGCTAATGAGGCAAACAGCAAATAGAAGACCGTGTTCCGTTTAGCCATGACGAGTGGGTGCCACAAGCGGGAACCACGAAGCCTGCACGAAATGAATGCAAAACTGCAGCAGAAAAAAATGTAGCATTTGTTTTGCTCTGCGCAGATATTTTAGTAAATTTTTATCTAAGGATGTGGTAGCTCGCGATAGGAGGGAGAGTGGCGCTAATATTACGAAAAAAGGGACTCCGCTTGTCAGGATAAATACCTATAGCTAATCGGTTCTCAGCCCTTGGCAAAGTTCGAAGTATAAACGTTCGAGTCAGTTGTGATCTCGGAATTAGCAATTAACGTAGGTACCCCGTTCGGCTTAGCAGACCTATGTCGCTGTATAAATAATTTTGCTGTACGTAGGCCGTGGGCCGTAATGCGCTGTCACGACACGAATACAGCCCGTTTTGAATGCCTGACTGTGTTTGGCACTTACGTGAGGTAACCCCTTGCTCACAGAGCCAGGTAGCCCCTTGCTAAAAAAAATGGGATCATCATACTGTACTAGATTATTTCATCGTGAATTATGCATGCATTAGAAAATATGACGATTATTGACCTTTGTCACAACCTGCCATGTTTGGATTCAGCAACAAGAACCTTGTGGTTTTCCCTCAATAAGTCAGGTTTGACCTTCAACTTATGCTCTCTTAGACTCTGCTTTTCATGCTCAACCCACCATGGCCCCCAGTACACTATTCAGGTTACCTTTTGGGTTTGCTGCATTTGAAATACAAAGGTTCTGTATAATAAGATGTTAAATGAACCTAGGGAGTGTCATTGCTGATCAGAAACCACTGCCAAAGCAGAAACTGACAGCCTGCCTTGCAAAGAATGTTAATAGGTGTATACATGCATGTTAAGTGTTATATGCTAAAGAACCACAGTAATTGACACCCTAAAACCAAGATACTATTAGGTACCTGGTATATGCATATACACAAGACCACTACAACACCCAACACATCTCACCATGGTCTTAAAAATATATGCTGTTTTATGCATGTGACTTACCTAATATACAATTGTAGATTAAGTCGTGGAGTTTAAATAGCAGTTTGTCTGACATTAAAACAAAACATCGATAACTGACCAGCAATTGTCCAATATTTGTGTTGTGGAATTCTGTGCAAAGGAGATAACTTGCATTTACCTTTGTATTGCTATATTTACACTTGCCAAATGAAACCAACTGCTGTTTTGCTTTGTTATGACATGCCATTCATTTTGCCAATTTGGAACTATTCAGATCATTGTTGTACTCATGGATGCCAGAAGTTCTCACAAGCTGGAATGGGTGGGGGCTGGCAGACAGCAAGCCATTATAGGTTATTATTTGTAGACACTGTCCACAGGTCTAATATAAAACTTTCAGAAACTTTGCACCTTTGCCTCCCTGACTTCTGATGCCCTTAGTATCATACATGCAGGGTGTCCTGAAATTGATGCACCATTGCATTCTCCCCACTAACAGAAAAAATGATTGACACCCATTCATGATTTATCTGCCAATGTAATGCCTACACAGTCATATACATTGTGACATGTGCTCAGACATGCTGCTCATCAGGTTGTCAAGAATCTCCACCTCAACCCTCCACCATGCTGTTTGCTCATTCTGGAACAGGGCCTTTTCTGATGTGGCGGCAACATTTTTCTGCCTGATGATCGCTCAGAGATTCTCGGTCGACGACATGTCGGGGCTGTTGCCTGGCCATGTGCCCTTCTCCCAGAAGCCCGGGAAGTTAGTGCATCACCAGTCCTGGGTCTTCCTGGTGTGATGATCTGGAGCACCATCCTGCTGGAAAATCACCCTTGACATGTCTGTCAGGAATTTGACCTCGGTTGGCGGGTCATTCTCCTTCCTCCGCTGCATCGCCGAGGCTGCAGTCTTCTCCAGCACCTCTCTGACGTAGTCAGCGGTGACGGTGTGCCCGCGCGGGACTTCGTGTAGCTCAGAGAGGCTTCGGTAGCTCATCATGCCCCAGACAAGAATCATTAGCTCCTGTAGCCCTTTTTAGCTGCTTCACTGTCTCGGCGATCGGCACCTCCGAGCTGTTGCTGGGCCAGACCCGGTCGTTCTGGCGGTTAAGAGCTTAGAAGAGCTCGAAGAGCGACTCGTTATTGAACAGGAAGCGTCTCCGGTCCTGAGCGGACCAGTTCTTGCGAGCCTTGGTGAATTCCAGCCGCCTGCGCTTCTGGTCCACGGTAAGCCTTGGCTGCAACCTGAGGTTAAGCGGCTTCAGTTGCAGGCTGGTCTTCAGATACCGGTGGACGGCCGACTTGGGGGCTGGGTGCTTTTGCGCCGTCAGTTTTCTCGCCAGGGTTCTCGTCGAGTGGTGCCTTTTGAAGGCCGTCTTGCAATGCCGATCTCCACCGCCCGGCTCAAGGCCGACTTCCGCCCGCAACCTGTGCGACTTTCGAGCGTCTCTCCTGAGCGATCGCGTGCCAGCCAGTGCCTAATCGTCGCTACGTTGACGTCCGAGCCCCAGGCGACCTGAACCTGGGCCATGCTGCCCTTGACCATCCCAACCGCGCGTTAGTGGATCGATGGCCTGTGCTCTCTCACCATTGGCGATATGCAGACTCGACGCATTGGCTACCTCAAAAGGAATGACCTTTCCCGCCCGTTACCGGCCGAGGTGAGGCCGGTCGCGAGGGTCATGTGATCGCCTGACACGGCGGGATGCCCTGGGGCCGAGCGCGGTAAAATCCGGCTCACTCAGCGTTCGGGAGGGGGGAAATGATAGGCGGCACCATCCGCACAACAATTTCAGGACACCCTGTATGTCTGCATACGGTACCAATTTCGTTACTGGGCAGGAGGCAGGTTGTGTTAAGTTTGCAGTAAGGCACTAGGTCAAATCTGTACACGTGGTATTTATTTACCATTGTTTGTTGCATTTCATCTTCGATGGTACATAGTATGTAGAAAGCTAAATACATCTGGTACAAAGAAACAAGTACAACATTATATACTATTAATGTGACTACAAGAGGATATCCAAAGTATGACCCAAACATGCAGCATCTTAACACTGCCAAATGGTGGCATATGCACACAAAACTACCAGATTTTGATGGAGAAGAACAGACAAACAACTGTATCGTGGTGGTTGAGCTGATGCATGGTGACATTATCATTTTAAGGGTCGATTCTGGATCTGCCTGCCTTGGAGCATTTGTGAGGATTACTGTCAGATCCTTGCAATAATTGGAGACAGAAACGTGAAACAAACTCCACAATGTGTATGTGCATACACCACCAAGAAGCCATTGATGGATTTAAAACCATCCGACCCATATGTGCACCAGTAACCCGCGGGAAATGGGTAAAGGAGTCACTTCCCCAAAGCAAATGTGAATACGAGAGCTGCGGCCTGAACTGCGAATGATTCGTCCACGAAAATTTTTACACACGTGAAGTACCATTTGTCAGAACGAACATTTATTTCGGCATCCTACAACAACAGAGGAACCGGCGGACAAGGTCCAACATCCCATTCGGGCCCGGCTAGAATTCGCGGCGCCAGCCGGTGCGGTGTTGGACACCCCGTCATAGAGTTAGCCCATGCAAGAGCCCGGGAGACATACCCCCACCTGGCAGTGACTCCCGGCCATAACAACGTTACGTGCTGTGAGCGCGCCACTCTCTGCCGGCGGGGGGCGGGTTCTGCCCGCGATGCGAGACACTCTGCTGCGACTCGGCCTGGTGGAAGGCGAGCACGACGTGGAAAACGTGGAAGGCTTGCTTGTTGGGAGCTGAACAGCATTGAGTGCCTGAGAAACTGAGACCAATGCCAAGACCTATGCAGAGACCAAAGGCCATACACATCATTTCATCTGCACGGCGCCCGCGCCCACTCACCGATGGGAGCCGGCTCCGCCAATCCCAGCTTCGCCCCCCCCCCCGTGCGGCACCTTGGGCCGGAGATCGCCTCACGAGATGAAAGCGTGCAACTGATGGCATCGTTGCAAGAATGCTGTAGCATGATGTGGCTAATAAGAGATATGCCACCACACCATGCGTAATATTGTTTTTTCTTGGATGTTTTTTTCAGCTCACATTTTCCGCACCATGCTTCGGCTGTTTGAGACATCCTTGCATGCAAAGCTGTATGCAGAGTTCCGGCCGAACCCGCCAGCATCTCTCATTAATGTTGTTTTGCAAGCTGTCAAGGTAAGACTATATGCGGAATTTGTTTCCATATTATAGTTAATTTAATATTTATGGTAAGGACAAGTTTAATGTTGGCTGTGAATGGTATTAATTCCAGTCATCTCATTTGATTGTGAAGGAGTGCAACTAGGTATGGGACCTGGCTTTGTTGATCAAGGCCTCTGAGCTTCATTTGCATTATATCTTCATATTGATTGGCAATTTCAATCATTTGTGCACATGCTTACAATCAATCAGTGCACACATGTAACAATTTAGCTGATGCGCTATGCGGCCGAGCTTTTAACGATCTTGGATAATAAGATCACATGCTTCAGTTCTGATAGTGTGCAACCTTATATTATGGTGTTTTTTTTCGAACTGTAGTGAACAGAGACGTGCTTTCACATCTGTTAGCTCAAGGATGCCTGAATTACTTATTTCAAATTAACATTTGTGTATTTGTGCTGTTTGTGCACGCCTTTTTGTCAAATACCAGACATGGACTGGTCAGTAGGCAGCTTACTGTCCGGAACACCCACAGAAGAAGTTGCCACTGGATCGTGCACTTGATGTCGGCTGCGGCAGTGGACAGAACACCCGCTGTCTGGCACCCCATTTCCGTTCCGTACTAGCCACGGACGTCAGTCCAGCGCAGATCAAGGAGGCGGCCGCAAGTAACACTGTCGCGAATATCGAATACCGGTGAGTTGGACGGAGCCGCGAATAACTGCCTTCAGGTGTTCCGGGGGTGTTACGTTGCCACGCAGTCCCCCGTTATGTGTTCAAAGAGCCTAGACTCGTTTTACGATGGCTTCCCTCCAATGTTCTTTAAAGGGAATGTTCCACATTTGGAAATATTCAGCGAAGTATCAAATATTGTGGAATAAGTTCACTTGCTGAAAATGAAATGATCAGATGATCACGTCAGGTGATGGTGAAGCTTACTTTGATGAACAACATTCCCTTTAATAGAAATGTTCCACATTCGAAGATATTCTGGCAGGCATCAGATATGATGAAATGAGCTCTTTTGTAGGTGGCGATTTACTTTTGAGTGTTAGATGGGTAAGCAAGGACTGCTCTAGACCACACAATTTCATTATTTTATTAATATGTTTACTTAATTAATTATATGTTATTATATATTACTTACTTGATTATAATACCATGTTGAGTATATAGTTATGAATATATACTCAATACGGTCCCGCTGGTTCCGTTGGTTAGAGGACCTGCCTTCCGATCCACCCACGCGTGAGGGGAGAGGGGGGGGGGGGGTTCGGGTTACTTTAGGTGCTCGCCATTTGTCCTTCAGAGTTACAGCCTGCGGCCGGTGGCAACGGTCAGGCCAGCTAAAGTTCAGATGACGTCAGAGGGAAAGGCGGACCGTGTCGAGCATTGCGGTATGTTAAAATTTCGCCTCCAAATTCTGCCAGATTGTGCGATCGGATGATAAGGCGTCAGAGTTCACACAACAAGCACGGCTTGGCGTGAACTCTGATCCCATAAATTCATCCATTTAGAAGGTTTGGATTAAATCTTAAAAAAGATCGCATTTTGATTACGTCATGAAGCGTCTTTATGACGTTAGTTACTGCCAGATTGATTGTGTCAGAGCTGCCACGGGAACGGATGGGCTGACTCACTTGTAGTACTTCAACTTGCTGAGAGGTGGCGGGGTGTTGCTGGAGAATGTTCGCGAAACGGAAGATCGTCTTGCGAAACGGAAGATCGTCTTGTCCTCTTATTTTGGCGTTTCTTGTGATGTTCTTGTATATTTGTTCGTTATTTTATATGACGGTATTCTATTCACACGCTCGGTTTTGACGTTTTCAGGTTATTTGATTACTTTACCGTCATAACCCGTACAACTGCCCAAGTTACTGTATTACATAGTTCAAAACGTGATTTGTGTTCGAGGCTTGCAGTAGACGCATTACTCTGGTTTAGGGTCAGCTGAAATCCGTTGATGCTAGAAATCGTGCTGATGTACGCCAGACGCGAATAACTCGATGATCATATTTTTCGTGGCCTTGTGCGTTTTGTGGCCATTGAGGTGGCAGTACTTGCGTGACGTCTGTCTGGCGTCATGCATTGCTGGCTGACCTAATATATGAAGTCCGCACGAAATAGTCTGCACAAGCTCGCGGACGGCAAGCTCAGAAACCAGAGGGTTTTAAGTCTTCAGAGGGACAGAGCTGTAAACTGCACTGGATAATTTTTAAAATGACTATCTCAGTCCAAACACCCCTTTAACCTCTGGCGTTATGGGCCGGGCATGTCGCAGGATCATATAACATGGTATAGACTACTCTAGTAGGGTAGTAGTCTCTAGTGCTACTGGTAGTGCCCAACTGCGCATTCGAACTGGCTGGTTTGTAACGAAAACTTCACTTAGCATTGTGCTGCACCCCGTGCTCAGTTCAGAACTATGTACGGCCACGAGGCTGGCCTGTTCGTAGTGGGACAGACATGCAACTTCACTGCTTACGAGGGGAACTGAGGTTGCAAAAAGGACATACCGGTACGATGAGGATCTGGTGGGAGCGGTTTTCCCGTGCTACAGTTATCTGACCTGAGGCAGGCCCTGCAAAACGTCTAGCCTATCACGCTCTGTATTATGCTCTAGGCTTCGAACATTAGCTCATCGGATACTTCTAAAAGTCGTCCATCCCTCTCCTTTGCTGAATTGCCATCGCTCCCGCTGGTTATCAATGCCCCCCCCCCCTCTACACACACACACACACACACACACACACACACACACACACACACACACACACACACACACACACACACACACGCACGCACGCACGCACGCACGCACGCACGCACGCACGCACGCACGCACGCACGCGCGCACGCACGCACGCACGCACGCACGCACATTTTTATTTAGTCCTCATAGGCGTGGTCCTGCATGATCCTGTGGCCGAGTGTAAAGCCACTTTTCCAGGGCTCCCTGCCGCCGAAGCGCCGCTGTTGTTACCCACCGCCCAGTGTTAAGGACCAGGGAGCTTCTGTTTACGAGAGAGCCACTCTGCCTCACCAGCAGGCAGTATCTGTTCTGCCTCGCTCCGTGACATCATGGCACGCCCGTTCTATCCTCTCCCTGCGTGCCGCCAGGGTATCAGCCGCCGAGGAGATCCCAGCGCCGCCCGACTCCATACAGCTGATCGCCGCCTGCCAGTGCGCCCATTTCTTCGAGCTGCCCCGTTTCTTCGCGGAGGCGGACCGCGTGCTGGCGCCGGGCGGCCTGCTCGCTCTGTATGCGTACGGCTTGCCCGAGCCGTACCGCGACGGCGCGCTCTGGACCGAACTCAATGACGTCATACTGCAGGTGGGTGCGGAGGCCAGCGAGCCTCGCTCTGTTGGTCTCGGACTTGAGACGGCCCCGAAACGTTTGGTCTTTCGGGTGCGCAATATGCGGAAGTTTTCGCCCCCCCCCCCCCCCCGCCTAAAATGCATTTGGCTTACGGGGGAGCGTCGCATTAATCCCCCAGTCGAGCGTGCGATGTGAAACCCGAAAATAGAGTACGAACCAGCCATCTTGTTGTAGGATGCGGCTGACCGTGCTGTGTTGTGTTCGGCAGGCTCAGGCGGCCACGGCCGGCTTCTGGGCGCACACCCGGAATGAGGTGGCGGACCGGTACAGCGACCCACGCTTCCGGCTGCCCTACCCGGGCGAGGTCAGGTGGGTATCGCCTGCACCGCCGGCGAACAGGCCCGTGAGGGTCAGCGGGATGCGTCGCGTGACAGCGCCAGCACGAGCGAGGCGGGCCGGGACGGGGCACAGTGCCGTCCTGTGTGGGATGGTGTCAAAGTGTGGCGTGATGTGGGACTGTCGCGGCGGCGCATAGATTTCGCGCTCTGGTGATGTTCTCTTCTGTCCGCATGCCCTTTAGCCTTCATACCTCCATGACTTCCAGATGCCTTCTAACTTAACTTTACGTTGCGGTTTTGTATTTCGTACGTGTCTTGTGGGCTTTCTAACGCACTCAGCTGGTTGGGCTTTTTATGGCGCCGCCTGCTGATTCTGGCAGGGAGGGTGCGCACAGCGGGAATCGAATCCCGTATTTTCAGTTCCCTGGATGCGCCGCTTTACCACTGCACTATCAAGACGCCTTCTCCACTTGTGTCGTAATTTTCAGGGCCGTGAACAAGATTTCGGGGAGAAACGGCTAAGACATATCTTGCACTAGCTCACTGCGAAAGTCCTTGCAAGTGCGAAGGCACCAGAAGTGTGGTGGTTCATCTGCGTGCGTGGGAAGTCAGGGGTGCGAGGTTCGATTTCCTGCGGTGCCCGCCCTTGCTACCAGGGTGAGAGGTGGCGACGCCATATACTCATAAGAGCTGAGCACGTCGCAAAGCCCCAATACCAACAATGACAACGAAGTATACCCAAGCGGCGATTTTCTTAAATGTCGTCACTTCTTTCTTTCCTATCCCACGTTTGGCCGGCTCGCTGACTTCGCCCTCCCGCTGGCCCATGACCCCGTACCGCGCGGCTGACGGACGCCGACCGCGGCCACAGGGATGAGAGCCACTACCAGGAGCGGACGCTGACGCTGGACGGCCTGCTGGGCGGCATCAGCACCTGGTCCGGCTTCCAGACCATGGTGGACCGCTGCGGCGCCGAGCGGGGCGAGGCCCTGCTGCAGCAGACCAGGGAGCGGTGAGTGGCCAGCGGCTGGCGGGGCGGTCCGGCACGCGACCAGGGCGCCAGGCCGATCGGCACGGCACCGCTTTGTGATTTCTGGTGTGTGTGCGATCCTGCCATATGGTGTCAGAGGCAGATGTCTGGCGTGACGCTGTTACGCAATAACGCGCGTCGGACTAGCTTAATCATATTCCCGGTCGGGTACTGAAGCTTTAAGTTGCAGTCGTTTGTGCACTTCTGGATGCAGTCAAACGTTAGCGAGGTTAGAGTTGTGGAGGATGGTGCAACAAAACAGTGACGATACTAGCCTGTTGTTTATGTCAAGACTCCAATTTAAAAGCGATTTTTCGTATTAATTTATGCACCATCGGCGGTTGCAAAATTAGACCGGAAAAACTAAACCACCCGGTGTTGCCTCAGATTCCATGCGGTGCTCTCCAGCGGCGATCCGAAGGTCGATACTAGCGCCATCACTATCACCGTCCGGTACTTCTACTTCCTGCTGATGGCGCGGAAGCCGGTGTCGCCCTGATCGCGGCTCACAGATGACAGCGTTCGTGCTTGTCGTGCCGTTTTGGGACGGCGCATAGCGGGAGCTGGAGATGGGAGACAGCGGGAGACGGTGATTAGCTGGATGGATTGGGAAAGTCAGTTTGTCTCACGTGGGCGAGGTGCGTTTAGAGGCTCTTCGAATGAGCGGGTAAGATGCTGGGATACAATTTTGTACCTCGATATTCTGCTGTTGGAGTAGTGTAGCTGAAAACTGTCTCGTCATTGTGGAGCTTTAGGTGTCTATTTTTGTATGAATCTTGTTGAGAGGGCACTATGCGATTAACGGGACAAGTGACGGGATGAAGTGAGTATTCATATAATACGAATCCTTCAGTGTGGTATTTTATGAGAATCGGGTTCTTTGCTTTATTATCGTGGCATGCAAGGGTTGAGCGGTAGTGATACAGCAAATGTAGCTGCTCATTGTCAATGCCAACGAGTGACTCGCACTACCGTAGTGGTGCTGTTTTTCACACGTTGTGCTCTTTTCGGGATATAGCTGGCGTCCGTTGATATTGCTAACGCGTACGTCATGTCATAAGTATGTCGTTCAAGAACGTGACGAATGTTGTTGTTCACTGTTCACCACCTCGCGTTCCTCGGGAATGGTTTTGTCCGCTGGTTAGTGTGATTGCCAACGGAGCGTCTGTTTCTGTTGTCCGTCGAGATAATTTGCCTGACCTGATCAACCATCGACACTAATGCATGTCAGACCTGTGCCATTCCAGCCAGCGTTGTGCGTGTCTTGCAACGATGTCGGCCTTACCATGAGATGACAATAAATCAGATTCGCCGTCGCAGCAACGTTTCACGTTCCCCTGCCACTGGGTGCCGCGCTCGGACACGTAAGCTGGCCACAGCTGCGCGCTCTGCGGCACTAGACAGGAATGAAACCACTTGTCAACACAAAGTTAAGTGTACTGTCCCGTGTGGACGCAACGTTGGAGTGCGTTACAACATCAGATGAGTAACACGGTACGCATGTATTACCCTCTACCTCCCCAATTTCTTTAGGACGTGCAAACATGATGCAACGTAAAACGAGGCCATACGAGGTCACACTCAACAGATCTGCTCCGCGACATGCATAACAAAATGAGAACAGAATGGACGTGACCAACGCAAGAGGCATTCTTATCGTCCATCCACGCGGCCCGCGCTTCCAGACGTGGTCACATTAGAACAGGGAGCCTCCGCGCCTGCGTCGGGCGCTGGCGCTGCCGCAGGCGAATCAACCACGGCTGGCGGTGCCGCTACTGCTGCCGCTGAAACGACTGCCGAGTGATCTCTCAGCCATTCCTGTAGCTCGCCCGCACCGTTGCAGTGTTTCTGGAATGGCCAGGACCCGATCCTGGTGTTCCACCGGTCTCACTAAGCATGTCGGCTTGCAGGCGTAAAAAAATCGGGCACTCTTTGGATTCAATGAAAATGTGTGCAGCTGATCGTCCCACCGGGCTCGCTCCGTTTGAGTAAGTCGGGAAAGCGACGCATGCCGTTTGCCATACTGAAAGCGTAGCTGACTTAGTCGACAACATCGAGCCACACGCGTTTACCAGTGCTTTCTGCGGTGTAGGAGACTCACGGATGGCCCTGAGATGCTCTGCACAGGGTCGCACGGAGTCTGTGGACATCTCAAAGCCAGCCGAATCCACCACGTCCTTCACAAATGCAGAATTCTCGGGGTTGAGCGTGATGCGGCTGACCCCAGTCACCTCTAGTCACTTACCGGGCTGCCAGAAGGAGCTCTCGATGGTGTTAGAGACCGTGTAAAACTACCTTTTAGTCATTGTGCACCTTGATCTCTCAACAGGTAAAAGCTAACCCATATTTTACCCAAGAGAGACATGTGTGTTTTTCGCATGATCAAGACTGCACTGGCATTCTAATGGCCATGCAATGACAAAACAGGGTAAAAAAAAACAATGAGAGCCATCAGTGATCCTACATTCGTGAAATCGTGACTCTCACAGAAGATGCTTCTTTGAGGACGAAAACGAGGATCCCGTCAACACCACCTCAGAGCGTTACATTGCTACCGCTCTGACGTCCTGAACTGCCCTGGTACGATTTCACGGAGCCGGTCGCGACGGGGATTGGCTTCAGCAAGATCGCGCGATACCATACATGCAATGCTCGCCGTCTCGCCCGATCGTGTTCTCTAGATGACCTTTTCTCTGGCATGCACATCAGCTTAAGACTAGCGGTAAGTGGCTTCCCACTCGCCCGACCCGTCGCCCTTGATCACAAGAAGAGCTCCACGTAATTTATCCAGCTTACCGTCAGAGGCCGCCTTTAGACCTGAGATAGGACGCATCGCCGTTGATAAGGGTGACGGGACAATCGGTCACCTGCAGCGAGTTCAGCTCTAGCGCACTTCGGACCATCAGGGGGCATGTGGGACATCTTTTGTTGTCACAATTTGACGGACATGGAATCTCTGATGACCACCGCTGTTGCTGTTTATGTTTTGTCGTTGAGTTATGTCACGCCTTGCTGCGTCAGTATAACGCCCGGTATCACCCCTGCCAGTGCAGTCTTGATCATGTGAAAAATACGCATGTCTCTCTTGAGTAAAATACGGGTTAGCTTTTATCTGTTGAGAGATCAAGATGCACACTGACTAAAAGGTAGTCTTACACGGTCTATTTGTTTCACCTTTCTACGTTTTTTTTACGAACCTGTCATTGCTGTTTTGTGAAACAAACTGCTTTCTTAGTAGTCACGGTATGTGCCGACTGTAAGGCTTTATGGGCGGCGGGGGGGGGGGGACCATGAGATTCTTAGGTTTAGCACGAGCCCTTTTGACTGCATATATTTCTAGTATGAGCGCCAGCGCTAAGTGTGGGTACCGACTCCACCACCCGATCGTCAAATTCCGGGTCGACGGCAAGACTGCAACGAATTATAAATGCTAGGGATCTATATTTTGGGCGTTATGAAAAACTACGGAAGTTTATTTCAGAAACGACACTCATAGGCATAGGCCATAGCTGTGATATGAAACGACATAGCAATTCTGAATTTAAGGTAAGCAGTTTGTAGCATCATAGCGTACAACCGATAGCAAGGCGGTGAAGAGCGATTTTTATGGACGGGCTAGGTATATAAGAGTTATTTCTCTAAGCGCTCTTTCTCATTGCTCCAGTGTGTCGTGAGATTGTGGATGGGGTTTACAGCGTGCCATTTATGGACGTGATGTGGCCACTGACCAAACAGTTCTCGCCCTTCTCCGTACACGCGACGTCTTAGGTTTGAACCGAACCGATCAGCTCACCGGCCTTGAACCCGTTGCGCAAACCAGTCATACACTAACACCTACGCCCTAACCACCGGAGTTTTGGCATAGCCAGCAAATAACACTTTGGTACTAATAAACTTTCCCGAACTATATTATTGATGATTTTTATGACTCATTGCACTTCATTTATCTTTGTTTCGTTTGGTTTAGCACGTTAGAGTTATACGGCGACGGTTTGTCATAGATTTGGCTCCAGGTAACAATTCAGACTTTTCCAAACTTCGTCGGTGACAGAAAAGACACTTTTGCACCGCTGCCGAGCAGCTTAATGAATAGAGCCAAGCCAAGAACATACGGCCACCCATACAAATAATAAGTATCTCAGACACAACATGGAAGGTCGCGGAATCATCGCGTGTGTCCGATCAGGTTAAGAGATGAGAAGCTCCGACGAGGGCATAGGGCGCTCCATTCAAATAAAAATACCGACGACACAATGTAGAGGGCCCCTGAATGATCGAGTGCGCTGGAGCAGGTTGAGAGATAAGACCCCCGACAAGAGCGCAAGAGCGCAAGGGTTTCCATTAAAAAGGCAAAAACCCAATACTTAATGCAGAGGAGCCCCGAGCGCTCGAGTGTGCCCGAGCAGGTTATCAGAAAGGTCTCTTGCGGGAGCGAAGTACCCAGCATTCAAATAAGAAGTACCCAAGGCCCAGTGTGGAAGGCTCCCGAAAGATGGAGTGTACCCGAACAGGCTATCAGATGCCCCCGACAGGAAGGAAGAGCCATGCATTCAAATGCCCAATGTGGAGGGCCCCCAAGCAATCCAGTGTGCCCGAGCAGATTACCAGATGGGCCCCTGACAGGAGCGTAAGGCACTAAGTAAGTGTCAGGGAGTTGGAAGGGCCCTAGATCATCGAAGGAGCCCCATGAGCATATCGCGAGCGTGTCGGACCAACCGAGACCAACGTGGAGGGCCCCTGAGCAACCGAGAATACCCTGGCAGGTTAATATGCGGGACCCCGGCTATAGTGTACAGAGCCTTTTGGGCAAACGGAGGGAATTCTCGGGAAGCCCCTGACTGACCAGAGAGCCCAGGCATGCTAGCAGGAAGGGTCAGCAACAGTGCAGGGCCCTCCTGGTAAATGCAAAGAAATCAAGTGTAAGGTGCAAGGCCCCTTAACGATCGGATTGACCCTGCAAGGGGCGTGTATGTCTCCGGAAACAGCATAGGACCTCTGGTCAGCATATTGTGCCTTAAAATATCCCATCAACTTCTCAGTCAGTGAAGAAGTATTTTTGTCCACTCGTGGGCCGTTCACTTTCGTCTGCGACTGCGGTTGTTTGCCTGGAAGCTCCAGACGTCAAATTTTGGTGCGTTTTGTGATAAAATAAAGTGCATCTGTTCGGCCGACTTTGGGTCCCTTCGGGTTGCAAGGAGGGGGTGCATGTCCCGCGCCCCCTCTGAATTCGTGCCTATATATATATATATATATATATATATATATATATTGGAATATTTTGGCAGAATTCTTTCTTTGATACATGTTTGATTAAAAATAACTGCTGACTCAGCATTAACGAGCTTTTTGATGCATCGTTCTAGTTTCCGGGCCTTTGACTTTGCGTCATCGCTTAGATTAAAGATGGTTCGCACAAAATTACTCATATCAATTACTCACATCAATCACTCGAGGTCCCTGCCAACACAGAGGAGTGATGAATATATGAGTAATTTTGTGCGAACCATCTTTAATCTAAGCGATGACGCAAAGTCAAAGGCCCGGAAACTAGAACGATGCATCAAAAAGCTCGGTAATGCTGAGTCAGCAGTTATTTTTAATCAAACATGTATATATACATACATATATATATATATATATATATATATATATATATATATATATATATAATGCACAGTCAGAACATAATCGGACCAAATCCGCGACGTTTTCCGTATTCGTGCCCGTATGGCGACGACCTCCACGTTTCTGCCCCCTCCCCCACTATGTCGAGAAGTCGACACCGATGGGTGGGTCCCTGTATCACGGCACAGTGAGTAACAGAAGATCTTTTGTCGGCAAGAGTCTTCTGGCCGACCAGAGGTACATGTTGCCGAAGAGGAACAGGACGGGCTTCTGTATGTCAGAGAGCCACTTGCTTTGGGCGACGTCCTCTTGCGCAGCGACAATGAAATGTGTCGTAATGTGACAATAGAAGGGTCTGGCCAGTCACGGCCTCTAGTGCCAAATAGGAGCCTCCCAGAGCCCATGGACCCGGGCCCTAAAATGGACCCGGGGCCCCGTTTGAGCCGCGGGCCCGATAACCCTAATTGCAGTCCATACTGCGGTCCGTATAGTGCTTGGTTGGCATGTTTTATTATTGTCATGATTGTCTTTAAAACATTTTTGATTTGATGGTTTTACATCAGAGCTCACGCAGCGCAGGATTGTTGTGTGTGCTTTAGGAATCCACCTCCCTTTTGTGAAATTCCAATTATGCGGTAAACCTTTATGGAAAAAGTTGCATGTGCCGTAATGCTTGGCTTGATCCCCTGCC